CATTAAATTTATGAGTGATTACTTTCCTTATTTTAATAATCCATAAAAGAAAAATATCTACCTGGAACAGGTCAGGTAGTGTATTATCATTTCTCAGTTACGTCAATGGACAGATGCAGCTGGAGAAAAATACTAAGAGGTCCCTAGACTTGGGAACAGCTACCCACTGCAGTACCCACCTCCTTACACTAGAGAGGGGTGATCAGTAATAATATTGATGCCAGCACAGCCAACAGTTGTAGGGGTTGGGGAATTTTTGGCCCTGGCCCACACTCAGGTGCCACACATTAAATTTGACCTTGTGTCACATCACATTGCTGTGGAGAGATAGGTAAATACCTAGAAGCAAAATGTCTACCTGCATTTAGACAAAAATTCTTGAGCAAAATGAACCATTTAATTATTAAGTTCATTTTCATACATTTCTTAGATTGCAGTCTTATTTGTTCAAGCCTTTCATGTAAGGCACTCAGATACCTTTGTTTATTAAGTGACTGTCTTGCTTCAACTTGGTTTTGAAATTGGCTTTGTCATCACTGTCTTTGTTGTTCTGTTGCTAATCTTTTTTTTCCAAGATATATTTCCAACTCACTGTCATATTAAACACATAAAATTTTTAACATGAAAAGGTATAATTAATTTAGACGTTCAGTGATATCCATGTTGCACTTGTGCCTCTGTCTGCAGACAGAGACACAACTATTCTGAACTCTGCCTAAAGATAGAGATGCAACTGAGAAATGATAATACACTACCTGACCTGTGCCAGGTAGATATTTTATTTATAGGGATTATTAAAACAACTAAGGGAAGTAATCACTCATAAATGTAATGACTGGCGTTGATTTATCTCCCTTTCTACTACAGGAAATATAAAGGGAAGACATTAATTAACTGGTTTATCGGCTTCTATTTTAGTTTAGAATTCTTTATCTCTGATTTATTGAATCTCAATTCATTGTTTCAAGACTTTTGTTTCATTGCATCTCACTATTAAAACTTTGAAACAATTGTTGTCATTTTTTATGACACATGTATAGTAGTAATAATAATAATGATAATAATATTTTATTGATATGGCAGTAACTGCAGGATGCAATGTATCTTTGAAGATCTTCAAAAAGCTACCAAAATACAAGGACCTTGAAATCAAAATCTCAAAAATGTGACACATGGGAACATCAACAATCCTTGGATTGGTTGGAAAAGATTCCAATAGACTTATTGAAGGGATCCCTGGAAGCCCATGCCTTAAAGAAATAAAAAAAAATCTGTTCTCACGAGTACAGCCCACACCTTACAAAGGGCTTTATCTATGTAAAGTGTGTGTGTGTTTTGTTAATTGGTCAGTGGAAAATGTCATGATGCCATTTCTAACCTTAGGTCTCTGGGCAGGACCCAGAAAGAAATGTGTACACATCAAAAATCAAAGGAAATAAAATAATAATAATAATATAAAAATGGTAGTAGTAATAGTAGATAATGAAAGTGATTAAAAAAAGAAAGAAACAAAATTAATTCCCAATGTTATTTTGCTTTTTTTTCCAGGTAACCTCATCTGCTGATATTAATGAAAATTCATTGTCTTTGTTTTGTCTACTTGAACCCAAACTTGGTGAGTTATCAATTTGATCAAAATGTCTGCAATTTTAACGTAGATGAAAGTTGTCTTTTTAAATTTGCTTTTCTCAGTGTTGTTGCTGCAAAGGGAGTAAGTTGCTGTATGTAAATGTTTTCTGGGTTGGCATTATCCCCCTGATACTAACCCATTAACAGTTACGTAATATTGGGGCTATTGTACTGCTATTTTGTGAATGGGATCTGGACCATAGCTTCCAGTGGGGCCTCTCAATGCCATGATGAAGTGTATACTTACGTCTGTACTTTCAATCCATTCAGTCCAGTTAGTTCAGCCACGTACTACTTGTGGGTGTGGCTGTTTCACTAACTCGTCTTCACCTGTACGAATATCTTGACATATCTAATCTTGCCCACAATAAAATTAAACAGGAGAAACAAAACCCAGCCACACAAAAACAAAAGTAGATCCCAAGTTCAGCATAACCTACACCAATGTGACGCGTCTACACTCCAACTTTACAGAAATTGAATCCCGTCTTCACAAGGTCAAATCCAGGGCTGTGGAGTTGGAGTCTGAAGCAATTAAGGGATCACTGGAGTTAAGGTCGTATTCAGTAAAACTATACTGACTCTGACTCCAGTTGAATTTACACTTTATGTAAAAAGTCTTACATTATAGAATTTTTATTGTTATTTCTTCTACTGTATATTTACTATTTCCTTTAAAGAAATTCATCTCAACTTCTTTTTTAAAGTCATTTTAATTTTTGTAGGTATTTTGTTTTTGCAAAACTATATATGTAAAAAAAGAAAATCTTACATTATAGAATTTTTATTTTTGTTATGCCTTTTACATCCTGTAAAAGATTATATTTCAACTTCTGTTATAAAGTAGTTTTATTTTTGTTCTGTACTTATTTGCAAAGATATAGATAGATATATATATATATATATATATATAAAAAAGTCTTACATTATAGCATTTTTTTTTTTTTTTCTTCTATATCCTTTCAAAGGTTTTATCTCTAATTCTGTTAGAAAATATTGAAGAATGAATAGGTATGATATAAAAGCCACAATATGCTTTGATATAAATCAGTTATAATGATATAGGCCTACTCAAGTTAGGAGTGTATGCATAGGCTTTATGAGATTTGTAGGCCACAATCACTTAATTACATAAAGAGGAGTTAGGGTCAGAGATGCCAAAAATAGAGGCGTCAGAGGTTTTGTGTTCCAACTCCACAGTCCCGGTCAAATCTGACTTCTTGTTCTTGTCTGAAACTAGTATCAGCTTATCTATCCCAGTGCAGGAATTCGCAATCCTGAAATACTCACTCCTAATAGTAAAACAAAACCTTAAAAATGATAACTTGCTACCTATATTAAGGCATAAACCCTAAAAACAAGGACTTTTTAACTTTTTACATGGCCCTTGTTCACAGTACGTTTTTCATTTTCACTATCATCCTGTGGACGATAGAATTGTAATGTTTGACAGAATAGCTGAGGTAATTGATGTCTTCCTCTCTGATCATCCCTCAACCAGCATTCATATTTGTAGCAACTTCAGTATTCATCACATACAGTGGTTAGTGCATTCAAACATAGCTGATGAAGAAATCTGATACTGTCATGATTTCTCCATCATTTACAGACTTTCCCATATTGTGGATAAGCTCACTTGTATTTATGATACTTCAGAACATCATACAAACCTCGTCGAACTCTTTCTTACATCCTGCTCTGAAAAACACTCTGCTGAAATGCTATCTCTCTTAGACCACTCACTGGTCAATGTTAAAGTTGATGCCAAACCAACAGTATCTCTTGACGTCTGATATTCCTAGTATAATCATTTTGTGCACCAAAGCTGATAGGGATAGCTTCAGACCTTACGTGGGGGAACCTAGTCCTGGCTATGACAATAAACTACATCCGGCAGCAAGGCTTCTGCTCAGGAGATTGGAGGTTTTGAGTGTTAATATTGTTAAGTGTTGACTTTTTCTTTTTTATAATTAGGGCCCTAATAAAAAAGAAAAAGCCAATACTTAACAATATTAACTATGAACAAGGCCACAATCTGCTAACCGTGTTCGGAAAATAAAACATCTCTATAACACTAAGAACATACACACAATGCACGCACTCAATTAAACTGAAAAATAAAACCATCCTTGATAATGGCTAAAAGTATAGTCGGAAGTGCTTGTAATTATAGAACATTTGGACAGTTTCTACACAATCTGTGTCCCCAAAAAGAAAGCACTTGTTCAAACACAAGAAAAATTAAATAAAAAGCTTAATCATAGTACCTTTTCTGTCATTTTTAATGAAACATGCATGAATGTAGGATTGCTGCCTAAATACACAATATAAATATATATATATATATATATATATATATATTTATTTATCTGCATGAAGACATATATGGTAAATATCTATGTATGATCCTTATATAAAATCTATAACTTGTGTTTTCTTTCGTTTTTATTTTAGATCTCCTCATTCTAGGCATTGGCAGTTCCACTTCTAATATTGATTTATCAATTATACAGTACCTCCGCTCTAAGCATATCAGTGTGGAAATTTTGCCGACTGTAAGTAACACATCAGCATTTTATGCATGCATCACATTTTAACAATTTTGAAAAAGTTATCTAAAATGTAAAAATCTTATTTAAATACTTAATTTTATATATTATACAAGAAGGGGCTGCAGAAAAATTCTCAACTCAGCACTTTTCCAAAAAGACCAAACATTAGAATTTTATTTTTTATTTTTTTTAATTCCTCATTATTCAAATTGAAGACTTTTCAGCACCCACTTTAGACGTAGGCATGTCAATAGGTCCATAGCCTAATGATGAAAAAAGTGTTTATTTTACATAAATAAAAAATACTTTTGTGAAAAGTTAGTTCACATAACAGTACAAAATGGAGGATTTTAAAACAGCTTTATGGGAAATATTGAAACAAGACGAACAATGAAGACATTACAAACAAAGACTTGAAAAATTCGAAGAATTATTTGTAGACCAACAACATAAAATGTCAACGAGTAATAAGAACAAAGATTCAGGTGTTTTTATTTTTTACAGAATGCTATAAATTTCTGGTAAGGGTAGTTATTATTTACATTCAGGCTATTGTCCTCATCTTTGTTGTTGCTATCACAATGTTTCGGCTGTTGTGCCCTCCAGCCTTCATCAGGTGTATGTCAATCTGGGTAACCAAACCCTTTATTTAATCCACAGGGTTAGACAGTTGTCATTCCACTGCCCATGTTTAGGAATATTTCATCTAGTTTTTATTTATCGACGGCTGATAAGTTTTGACCAATGCTCGTATCCATTTTGTGCCCAGAATTCCCATTCATGAATGGTTACTAACTAGCAGTACATTAAAGACCATTTTGGCCAGTTATACTGGAGAGAGAAGAGATGCATTCATGCCTTTCCCAAGGGTATTAGTGTGAAATGAATATAAACCATCCCCACCATAATTTGAACTCAGCTAGCCAGTTCCATTTTCCAGGCTGTTAACAGTTTTGCCATGCACACTTTCTTTCTTAATCAATGTTGCTATTAAATGAGATGAGCTTCTGGGAAGATTAAATAAAATCAATAAATAAAATTATAATAATAATGAATAATAAAAAGAAATACATTTTCTTATGATGCTAAGAGTAAAGGAACCAAAAATAGGATTACCTTTCTTGTCATCTTGTCAAATCGCTTTAGGCAGTGCTGGTTAGGTCTATAAAAAGACAAACATGTTCCTGCCTCGCTCTTTTTCACTCCCTTGGTCCAAAATGTAGCAGTACATGGAAAAAGGGCGGTCTTCCTGGGATATATTAGTTTCCCCAGTTCACTGATGAGTGACTGTCCTTTTCCACTTTATAATGCATGGCATTTGCATGTGATTTTCAAAATCTCCACCTATGAAATCAAGCATTTTCTTTGGTTGTTCCAACTCAACACAAGGCTTGACCATTATACCTTGTCAATGTTTATTGTTTTAAAAAGGTGATGATTAGAATTTGAATAAAGTTTAAACATGAAATTTTCTTTGTTCTTGATAATTGGCAACAAAAATAATAATTAATTCTGGTTGAAACCATGGTAGCATAGAGGTCGGTGTTTCAAATATTTTATATCTGAAATTGTCCATAATTTTTATTTATTTATTTATTTATTTTTTCAAAATTGTATTGGGCACTCTCTTAATTTAGCCATACTTTTGGAAAATATCACTTTTGCCAAAGACTGAATTTTTTAGTGGATGCCCGTATTTGAGTAGATGCTCCATTTATTTTAAACTCTATTACTGAAGAAAATGAGACCTGTAGCAGGATTGGAACCTGTGTCCCCCTTTGCAGGAGAAACCATTGGAGATTCAACATGCTTTCACCACTTGACTACAAAGAGCCTCATAATCATGGCAGGTTCTATTTGCCTTTAAAGGACACTCCACTCGATCAGATTTCTTTGAAAGTCATAATTGCTCAGTTTTGTATCTGAAATGTAAAGTAATTTCTAAAAAGATTAATGGACCTTTATTTTTTTTTATTTATTAATCCACAATCCAAAATATTTTTATTCCTTTAAATATTATTTTTTAAAGTAATAAAAATATGTCAGATTAATAAATGAATGTATTATTCTTTATTTATATATATATATATATATATATATATATATATATATATAAAAATGTCACATTTATGACATTATATATATATATATATATCACTTTTAAATGTCTAAAATAATTAAAAAATGTCTTTAATAAATAAATTGTCGGACCTTGTCCATTTCTTAATATATGACGTCATTTGTTTACATTTGATACGCCAGAGCAGTTATGAATGTACGAGATTCATGGAAGATTGGAGTTTATAAGCAGTAAATTCGACCTTGTCTACCGAACGGTTCTTTTTGTAGCCTAGAGGTAAGGCACGTCAGCGTATATGACGGTTCCGTATAGGATGCAGGTTCGAATCCTGTCAAAGAACGAATATTTTCTATGAAAATTTTTCTCGGACATTCAGGCCGGTAAATGTTATTTAATGCTGTTTATCATAAACAGAGCATTTGCTTAAATACTTGTATCTATAAAATAACAACGTTAAACATAAAAAAAATGTCTTTAATAAATATATATATATATATATATATATATATATATATATATGAAGAAATATAGTTTTAAGGTTTTATATTTGGGATAAAGTGCTCAATATCAGAGATAGAGTGTGTGTAGAGGTGACGTCAGCCTGACGATTGTGCCTAGCATGAAACAGCCTGTTGCCTCTGTGTGTTGACTTCAACATTCACTTTATATATATATATATATATATATATATATATATATATATATATATATATATATATATATATATATATATATATATATATATAATATTTGGGAAGTTTTTGAGGTGGTGTAATGGTTAGCAAGCTTGTCTTTCTAGAACAATTACGACTGAGTAGTGAGTTCGATCATCACTGGTTGCCCCATAATTTCGGCCTTATGCTATATCTGAGCTATGCTTAGAAAATCACTATATATATATATATATATAGTTGGATTGATGTAGGTTTGTGACCCTGTATGTTTATGCTTGTGTGAGCTGCAATGTGTGAACATGTATGTATGTGTCTATGTACATATGAGCAGCATTCTGACAATTTTTCCTACCACTACCATAAAACACCAATATACACAACCATAAATAAATCCAAAATTTCAAAAACTAATCAGTTTGTCTGATGACCGCAGAGAGTGTGAAACCCAGGGTCACGAACTCACATCACCCCAACTAAATACGTTAGCTCTATCACTGATATTGGGTACTTTCCAATAAGTATCATGCATATATAAATATATATATATATATATATATATATATATATATATATATATATATAATACAAGTAAAAGATTTGTCACTGATAGATGTTACCTTCAGAATCAGATTTGTAGACAGGCCCTCTGGGAATCACTCCAACCACTCTTCTTCAGGGGGTATCAACAATTGACTGTTTATACTTCTTGATTTTTCTTTTTTTATATACACTTTTAATTGGTGTAAGTTTTTTTTTTTCATTGTGTGTATAAATGCATTTGTCTGCATGTGTGCACACATGCCTGTGCATTGTCTGTACATAATAGGATTAATAAAAACATGGAATTTGTCACTTAACTGATTCAGCACCCCAACACCAGAGTTTCATGACGGACCTTTTAGTAATTGCTGTCTACACTTCAGGAGGTAGCAACAATTTTGAGATTTTCACATTGATTTAAAGAGTAATTTATGCACTTTTTATTGGTGTTAGGTTGATTTTTATATATATATATATATATATATATATATATATATATATATATATAATGATAATAAGACAACAGAGACTTTAATTATCCATTTCGATTATAAATTTATTTCTTGAACACTGAGTAGTCTACATTGAGCTCTCCCTGGATTTATATCCTTGGAATTATATCCTTCCAGTCACAAACTGGTAAGACTAATATGTATATATATATATATATATATATATATATATATATATATATATATTATTGTTTTCTGTTATTGCTAGCCCTACCTCCACTACTTGGTGCGGGGATTGAACAGTTATGTCACTAAATTCACAGACCAGTGCTTTAATCCACACATTTTATATGAAAGATTTTACTTTTTTTTCTTTCTCTCTCTCCCTTTCTCAGGAACATGCCTGTTCCACGTTCAACTTCCTGAATTCTGAACATCGCTGCATGGCTGCAGGACTGATTCCTCCCGAATATCAAGAAGGATTAGGCCAAATGTCGGCCTCAGCAGACGTCAATGTGAACAGAGCTATGATGGGATTTAAGTCAGGAATTTTGGAAACTCCTCAGGATACGGAAGAAGAGAAAAGACTCCATGAGGAAATGTATGGGTCGAATAATGAGAAACTTTGGAAACAGTGGTACACAAATAAAAGGCAGCAGATTATAGATGAGAGTGATAAATATGATCCAAACGAATATCTCAAAAAAAAATCACCTTCAGATCCAGACAAAGAAAAATAAAAATTTATTTTAAAATGAGCAATTTCTGTGAAAAAAATTTTTTTTTCTTTTTGCTATTTCTGTTTTTCATGATGCAAATTAAGCCAAGGAATTCAAAGAATCGTGAGATTCAAGAATTGTGATGTTTTTTAACCAGTTTACTTGAAATCATTTTACCTTTTCTTATATGAGTTGTTACTTTTGCCTTAATTCATTTGAGCATGTTTAAGATTGTGACTCAGCTCCAGAAAGGTTTAGTTTTGGAAATACTTGTAACAGCTAAGTACTGAGGTTATATCATATAAAAAGTTGAATTAGCTAACATTATAGTGTAATGACTCAACATACAAATTCAAGCAAATTAGGTGACCATCCAAGCTTACTTGAGCCTGGACATTGCCTTACATTTGTCTTGGAAGACACACACGTATCTTTCAAGGTATTTGTGAGGTAAAAAAAAGTGCGTCTTGTAAACCAGAAAATATGGTATTTCATTAGGTATCCAGTTTTTTATGTTTTTTTTCTATTAAGCAGTCCATAAGATTTTCAATGAGCATTCTTTTCTCAATCTAGAAGTCCTCAGAGTTAAAATAACTTTTTTCACACCTTAAATAAATGTGACATGGTGACTGATTGGTAAACCCAAATAGAAAAAAGAATATAGTAAATGATTTTATCTCAGTTTTTTAGTGTTGTGCACTTCTTTATGACCAGCAGTCAGTGACATGCTGAGGTTTGATGATGTCTGAGGGCCAACTCCTTGATTGTATGCCCATGGGTGGGAGGAGCTATAGAGCCTATTGCTGAGAAATGAAGACATTTTAAAAAAAAAAAAAAAAAAAAGAGGAAACACAAAATAAACACTTTATTTCAAAAACTAAATTTTTGTTTCACTCTTTGTTTGGAGGCCCAGGGACATCCAACCACCTGCTACCAACAGTAAGAGGGGTAGGGCGTCCAACTCTGCAAAATGTGATTTGGCATAAATGGGCTAAAATAATAGTTAAATAAATGAAATCTTTGGGGACAAGTGACACTTGACAGGATATTGGAAATTTCCATTTGCCGTCACAGTTGGGATTGAGGTTAGTTCTGGACTGCCTGGTGGCAGAGACTGACTGTTTTCTGAGCTAGTTCCGTTACCCCCATTAGAATTCCAGAGCCACTAGTCATGATATAGAGATGAACAGATGGGTAGTAAGATAGAATTAGAGTTCTCCCTGGCTGAACCGATTAAGAGCAGAAATTGATGAAAAGCTTCTGTAGCGGAAACAAAATGCAAATGGAGTAGCCACTTGCTACTGATGAGGGTACACACACCCAGTCAGTCAAGAGACAACATTTAGTGTGCTGTCTGCAAATAGACAGCACTTGGCTGCCTTGCCAGAACAAGAGCCTGTGCAAACCCCAGAATGTCTGATTATAAAGAAAAATGTTTAACAACTTCCCCATGAGAAAGGACAGAGCTGAGTGGTGTTAGCAGTGCAAATGATTCTTTTGCTAGTCAATTGCTAAAGCTTTAGGCACATTTTCTGGGAAGACAGAGCTTGGCAATGTGCTGCAAAACAGGATTGATGTGTATTACCAAGGATTTTTGTTTGTTTTACCAGCATAATTTCAGATTCATGTGTTTCCGATGCCTGCATTCGTCCCGTACATGTGGTGCTTCGATGTAGAAGTCTTGTCTGTGTCCTGTTTGTTGCAACCCAGTGTTTGATTTCAGTGCTGTTGAGTTTTCTGTCTCTTCATTAGCAGATACCACCCAAACAAATAAAAAGAAAATCCCTTCATATTACCCAATTGGAATAGTGTTTGTATTCCATTAGAACAACGCTAGACCTCACTTTGCTGACCTGGCAGGTGTAGTAGGACATCTCATTCAAGCTGTAGCAATTTCTGCTGGGTTTGCATGCAGGAGCTCATAATGAAGGTGGTTTTTCAATCCTAGCAGATACCCATCGTCAGCTTGTTCGGATGCAGATAAAGTAGTAATCCGAAGATGATGATAACAGATATTTGGTAGCATGGAAAACCATTTTCATTACTAGTTTCTTAGGCAAAAATCAGACATTGAATTTTGTACTGTCCCCAATTGAACTGATTAAAAACAGAAATTGATGAAAAGCTTCTGGTACTAGCCAAATGGATATTGTTTTCCATCAGAACAATCAGACCCCATGTTTCTTTGTAGACCTGGCAAAAAGATGTTCTATTACACCTGAACTTACACCTTTGGATTACCTTTTATTTTGATCCCTACAAAATTCTCTTCATAGAAAGAACTTCAAGTCTCTAAAAGTAAACCACTTAATCCAGTTCATTACCCAGAAAGATACCAAGTTCTACAAAGATGTTTACCTGTATTTTTAATTATATTAAATTAAAAAATTCATGTTTCCTTGGTATAAATGTCAAATGTAAAATTTCCAGCTATTTAATAATTTAGACTAATATCCTCATCTTTGTTGGTTTTATCTTTGTTTCAGTTGATAAAATTGAACCCAGGATAGAAATTAATCAGGATTATTCACAAGTCAATCAGAAAAGATTTTACATACATAAGTCCACAAAAATTGCCATACCTAAGGTTTAAATAAATTTTTAAAAATGAAATCACTTACTTGAAGATTTCATTTTAGCTTTAAGTTAAAGCTAAAGATTCAATTTACTATTTCCCGTAAACAAAATACTTTCGTGCATTTCAAACAGAAATTATATTGATTGGAATTTTCATTTATTTTTTTTTTTGATAACATGGTCAAAGGCGTCTATTTTTGTAAACAAGTTCTTGGTTTTTGAAAATCGTGCAAAAATAAAATAAAAATATACTTTTCAGAAACTTTGAGGAATATTAGCCGACTTAAAATATAATTAATCTGATCTGAAACAAAATTATTTACTTTAAAACATCACAGAAGTGCATTTTTTGACTTGACAGTAGTTGATTTAACATGTTAACAGCCTGAAGATAGGTCTAATGTTCTAGGGAAACTTTATCTGTAAAACATAAGTTACAAAAATGACAATCACCTTTTTCACATCATTTTTAAGTATTTGGTAATCTTAAAAATTTAGGAAAATATTCTCCGTAATCTAATGTTTTATTATAAATAATAAACATTTTCATGATATAATTTTGTTTTAGGGCCTTTTTTTCATCGTGGTATGATAATTTTCAGAACATTTTTGGAGGGGCCTAATTTTACATCAGATAAAAGTATATATATTAAAAAAAAAAAAAAAAAAAAAAAGAGTCTAAAAATGGGTAAATATTTTTTTTATCTTGCTTTGTACATTCAACACTCTTAATCCTTATATTTTACAATGCAATCAAAAGGATCTTAAGCAAGAATCTCAGATTCTGTATTTATTTTATTCATCTGTTCCTTTAAAAACCAATAAATACAGGGTGGGGGGGGAAGAGACTTATGTACAAATTATTTGATTTCCTTTGTACTTTTTTTTATCAACCCCCCTTTGTTTTTTTTTTATCAACCCTTTTATAGGTTATTTAAAGCCAAAACATTGTACTGTAATAATAATTATATTTTTGTTTTTTTTTGTGATTATTGCTTTAAAAATCATTTTTCCAGATCCAATTTAATCCATAGCTGGGGAGATCAATTCATAGCTTTTTCAGGTTATTTGCACATAAGTGAATATATAACAAATACAACTGAAATTTATTGTCCCTTTCTTATTCTGAGCAATCATCCATTACACCATCCAAAATATACAAATGAAAAAAAAAAAGAAAAAAAAAGACAAACTTTATCATTCTTTATTGTTTTCCAGGGGAGCTACAGAACGTAGACAGATAAATGTTTTCTGTACAAGAAACTTGGACAACTCAAAATGTAGCTGGTTTTGTAAAAAGTAGGTGCAACTTCTATGCTGTATTGTTCTTATAATCTAGTCCAGAACATGTTACTACGGATTCTGTTGTAATCGGGCAATTGTTCAATTGGACCTGAAAGTAAACAAAGGCGGGGGTAAAAGAACACATCATAAACAATAAAATTCAGAGAAGGTTGCTTTCCATAAAATAAGGAAGGGCTTTTTATTTCCAGGTGAGATGTTTACAACACTTGAGAGAGAGAAAACAATGACTTGAAAGCAAAACAAAGAAAATGATAGCTAAATGGTATAAGTAAATAAATAACCACACAGACAAGCAGATAATGAGAGAAAATGAAAGTGGTCCAATCAATCTATGCCTAACAAGCTATGTGATTAAAAACTGACCACTGAATTAAGTGCATTGACAAGGAAGATTATACTGATAAATATTTGCATAGAATAAATGCTTTTGTCCATTATTATGGTGTGTGTAAATTTACTGATTAGCTACACACACACACACACACACACACACACACACACACATGGTGCAATGGACAGATTGTCATTTAAATTGACAAAATTAAAATGACACTGACACCTAATTTTCACCAATATATTTACCAAATATACACAAATCTTGAAATATATCTTGAAATACTAAAGAGTAAATATATTCAATAAAATTGCCATTGGCTTCAACAACATACATAATCTCTTACAACTCTACAAGTATATTAATAAATGTCCTCTACTAATATCTACTCTTCTAGACAGTCTCCTTGTTTAAGTTGATGAATGCTGCCATAATCCTTGCCTTCAGGTCATCTTTGGTGTTACAAGATTTTTGGTCTTTTACTCAACAGCACCTCACACATAATCAAGGGGTTGCAGTCTGGGGAGTTAGGTGGCCAGATGTAAGGGGTTATATAGTCGCAAAAATTGTCTGAAAGCCATGACTGGATTCTCCTGTTTGTATGGCATGGTGCAGAGTCCTGTTGCCAGACATAGGGTCTTCCAGCAACCACCCTCTTTGCTCATGGCAGCACTACCTCATTGAGGCACTTTATGTAGGCCTGATTATGAGGCCAAGTGAGAAAATGAATAGAGATATAGCATCGCCATCACTAGTGATCACTCCAAACACCTTTGTAATCACCATTAAACTCATCCAACTCTTTCTGAATCCTCTGCACTGTCCTCAGATTGACACCCACTCTGAAATGTTCATATTGGAGCTTCTGGCTTGAATACCAAGTAATACAGCATGCCATTTCCTAATTTCTAGTAGGAGTGAGTTGTGTCATGGTGCCCTTTTTCTCACAGACAGTGCCCAACTGACCCTATTATACTGTGCAGTTGAGAAACAAAAAAACACACAAACGTGCGTGCACAAAATTAAAAATATAAAATAGCGACTATTTAACTATTGTATTTAACTATATATGAATAAAAATGACAATAGGAAAACTGGTAATTGCTGACGCATTTCGTCCAATGTGGACTTTATCAAAGCAAAATACGAAAATGAAAAATTAAATGAACAAAGTAACTAATAAAAACATAAACAGAATGTACCTAGCAACTGGAATGTAGAGAAACGCTATTTTCATATTTTTAACTGAAAAATAACGTCAGTGATTGTCACGTGTGGAGAATATTGTCATTATATCTGTGTTGATGTATTCAACCATTTTCTTTTGATTTTATGAATCTGTTGTGAATATTTGTTTGTAAGAGCATTAATTTTGTTAAGAAAGGTGAAATAGGGAAAAAGCCAAAGTATGTAGATTAATATTTGGGTAATTTTCTATGGCGGCACTCTCCAGAATTTTCCTTCTGAGTGAGTTATTTATTTTTTTTTTATGAGTGTAGCATTTTTAAAATCAAAATTATGTTTTGTATTTATTTCTATGTATTACTATTGCATTAGCTAAGTTGTTTTTTTTGTGAGGTCTCTTTTGTTTTCATAAATGCGTTTTTCAAACTTCTATTTGTTTCTAAATATATATAATATAATATAATATTTTGGCCATTGTATTCGAGGATAGCCATCTACTATTCATAAATATTTTGTTTTTCACTAGTTACATTTGTCAAATTTCAGCACAAATATAGAGCCCTTGTAGTTTATATGTAACTATGACTGAGCAGATCTTAGTTACAGTTTCTGGGTGATTGTCATTTTCTCTTCATATGATCCCAAGTTTATAATTTATACACTAAAACCCTCGGTCATATTGACTTGTTACTTCATTAGCACAACTAGGACGGCCTAATCAAATGTAACATGTGGAAATTTTTCAGACATTTCCAAATATAAACAAACTGGGAAAAGGAATATTTTTTTTTCCAAAAAATTCAAAACCCAGATCTCACTTACTGGAAAAGTGATTATTTTAAGTTTTTTTTAACCATCAACAAAGAATTTGTGTGTGTGAAATTCATTCACACAAATATAAATGTGTGTTTGTGTGCACTTGTGTGTAATAAATAATATATATGTTTATATATATATATATTTATCAATAATTATTTTGTCTTTTTCTTGTTCAAACTGAAATTCTTATTTTATTTAATTAATCTCTGATATCAGTCAAGTATAATGATGCAAGTGAAGAGAAATTGTATCCTCACAACTGGTCAAAGTTACTTTCAAAAATTCCATCAAAACCAGGATGTGTTTTTCAAAAATACCGATAAGCCAGATTTGCTTAGGGCATTATTCATATAAATTAAAAAAAAAGAAAATTTTTTCCTTTACTGAAGCAGATACAGCCTGAAAGCACAAAAGATAATAGATTAAAAAAATATATATATATTATATGTCTAATTTATACTTCTATGTTCAATGTTACAGAGAGAGGGGAGAAGAGAGAAACTTGACGCAATCAAGTCTGTATGTTGGAATTGTAAAATGTGGATCAAATCTTAGGAATGTCCTTGAGGAAATCATATTTCTCAAATGAAAACTAAGGCAAATATAAAAAAAATTATGAATAAAATTTTCAAAAGATGCCATATCATTGTGATTATGGTATCCACAATTTTTCTTCTTTCAATTTATTGAGCCTTGTTTTCTTTTGATTTTAGTTCCTCTGTCCATAAAAAAAAAATAAATGAAACAATTTCTGGAAATTGTATGTAAAATGTCAAAAATTGGACATGGGCGATCATTTTATCAAAAAAAATGACACTTTTTTTTTGTTTTTGGAAGAAGTACATTTAAGTAAACATTTTAAAATATAAATGATGATTTATATTAATAAATGTGGGTTACTTTTTTATCTAAAGAAATTGAACAAAAGTTTGAAATTGTTATTAAAGTCACATTTCATCAATTGGAAATCTCAATTTTTTTGCAACTGGGCATTATCTACAAATCAAAGAAAAGGAAGAACCATTTCCATTTATACATTATAGAATATTGACAATATTACATTTTTCTTATATCAGTTTTCTGATAGAGGAATTCTTAAAATCAAAATTTAAAGCATTTGCCTATAAGAAGCAGCAAAAATCATTCAAGAAAGAATCAATGTGTAATTCAATTACATACTTAACTTTTCCCCATTTCAAATTTATTCCAACTTATTGATCATGAACTAATAGACGTCTCAAATGGAAAGCTTACCACAAATGCTAAATTACTTCTCATTTATGCAAGAGATTTTCAATAAAAGCAATTATTAAATGAAACAATTACTTGAATGAAAATTTATAAAAAATTATGAACAGGGAGGCAATAAAAAAGGTGGAAACAGTCATGTACCAAATGTAATATAAAGTTATTTTCTGTCACAGTGGTATAAAGAGAAAAGAAAAGAAAAATATATATATATATATATATATATATATATATAATAATTGATAACTTTTATCTAGTTAGAATGTTTGACATAGAATGGAGGAAGAGTAAAAAAGACATCAAGGGAGGGATAAAGTTTTCTTATATCAAATCATTTATATTGGACAAAGAATTGGTTGCAATAATGCCACTGACATCAAATTGTAAATATCATCTAAAAAAAATTATGAGAATTATATTTTGGGGGGTCCATTTAATTCCAATTAGGGGGGGAACAATTATTTGAATATTCATCATATAGAAATTACTTTATTTTAAAGGGTTGGAGATCAATATTCATTTGTAATAATTTATAAGAGTAATTTTAATTACCACATTTTTTTTTCAGTTTTGTTTTTTTTATATTTGTCAAAATTTTTTTTCAGAAATATATGACAACATAACAATTTGATCCAACTTATCATAATCCACACTAGAGATTCTAAGAACTTTTAGCTTTACACAACAGCATTCAACTAGTAAGTCATTCTTGATAATTTGTTAAAATATATTTTATTAAAATTTGAAAAAATTTAAAGAAAAAATTTACATGAATTGTAAGATTTGTTTTTTCTTTAAATTATTGATGTCATTATATAGGATGAGTAAATATACCTTGTGGCTTGAATAAAATAAAAAAAATACTATACTTTATATATATATTTTAATCATTTCACCCAATGCAAGATAATAAGTCTACTAAGATGATAGGGGTTACTGAGTAAATATGAGAAAAATAAAAACCTTATTAAGTTGGTTGGTTTTGTTTAGTGTCATATCAACCTCTATGGGTTATTTCATGACGAAATTTTTTGTATGCAAAAATTTTTTTTTTATAGGGGGGGTTTGGAGGAAGATGATTATTTAGTGATACAAGTCTTACTAATTAACCCGTAACTGGGGGAGAAAAAGCAGATTCATGCCTTTCCCAAGGGTATTTTGCATGTAAGTGAATATAAAGAACCAACTGGAATTGGAACTCTGCTCTCAGATTTCTCATTCCAAAATATTATCCATTACATCACCAGCACATTTTGAAAATTTTTATATCACCTGGTATTTCCAAGCGGTTACCCATCTAGGTACTGACCAGGCTCAACATTACTTAACTTCAGTGATGGTACAGGAACCAATGTTTCAACATGATGTGACCATAAACCCCCTTATTAAGGAGACAGATACATTAATGTTATGACATATATAAAGAAGATAATGCATAAAAATATAATATTATATTGAGAAGAGGCTATAATATATTCATAATGTTTGAATATGAAATTTGAATTTGATTCTGGTACTAACCTTCCAATATCTTCACAAATTGGTGTGGAACCATCCAGCTGTAATAATAAGTTGGTCTTAAGTAAGTTCTTAGCTCTCTGCACTTCAAAATCTGTCACGTTGTTACATAGACGCATCCTGGAGTAAAAGAAGATTCTAGTAATTAATTTCTTAACAACTAAATATATGAAAATAATTGCTGTAAGTTAAATAAGGGATTTAAAATAAACATTAGCCTATTAAAATATATATGTAACGAAAAAAAAAAAAAAAAAAAAAAAAAAAAAAAGAAGACAGGATTATTTTTCACATCTTTTAATAAAATATTAAACCTGTTTTGTGTTGTTTAATGGCATATCAACTCCTTATGGATTATTCAATGCCAAGATTTAATTGGGAGCATTAATAATTTCTTTTGCAAAAATGTATTGCTAGTAATTTTTTTTTTTTTAATGAAAACATATTGCTTATAATTTTTTTTACTATGAAAATGTATTCCTGGCACAGTCACTATAAAAATGTATTTCTATACTTTCATAGCATTTTGACCCCAGTTTAAAAACTATTTGAAAAAATTCTGAGAAAAAAAAGTTGGAACCACACTGAATAGGGTAGATTGGGGAAAAGCAATTATGAAAAATTTCCATGGATGTAAAAATTTTTATTGCCATCCCCAAGAAAAATGTAAAACCGGATAATTTAACAAAGTTGTTATGAATATTTTTAATAAGGATTGTTATTACCAGTTGAAACTAACACAATATATTGTTCAAATAAATATATCCTGAAATTCTGTTGATTAATACCAATTGCTATTGTGAAAATATTGATTTGCAGAATAAAATCTGACAGTGGGGATGGAAAAAAACAAAAGGGGACAAATTCAAAAAATGTAAAGTCAATGGGAAAAGAAAAATATCGCAGAAAGGTTTACTTCCTACAATTGAAAAGTTATTTTCTCAAGAGGAATAATCAATGTTATTTTTCAACAAGACAAAGCTCTCCAGTAAAAGACTGCCCATTAGGCTCAGGACTTTGGCTAGGTCAGTGTCCAGATTTGAACCCTATAGAGCAGTGGTTCCCAAACTTTTTCCTTCTGGGTCACATTTTTTGCATTTTCAGAATTAAAATTTGCTTGCACCTCACCAAATTTTATGTGATAAAAAGTACATTTAGGAATAACAAACAGAGAGGGGTAAAGAGAGATAACCGCGGATTTGAAGTCAGAACATTATCATTGATAACTCTCTCCTCCAATTTGCGGATTCTAGTTACTATATTCTTAATACTTAATATAATGCAAAAATATCACAATGATAAAATCAGTCAAAAATTATGACTATTTATACTGGCACTCATACATGCAATAACAAGTAATCTATATTTTAAATTTTAAAATCATATTTATTTTTGGCATATGAATTTTTAAAAAATATTTCTAAATCTTTGTCTTTCAATTACTCTACCTCACCATTTGGGAACCACTTCTATAGAGAATATTCAATGCTGTATTAAGGATATTTAACTACTGAATTGTTTGAAGCCATTGACATTGAATAGAACAATATGGATTCTTCTGTGTGTAAAAATAAGGTAACATGTTTATTCATAAAGTTTAAAAGATTTAGAGAAATCAAAGTGAAAAGCACAAGTTATTTTATCTATTTGTTTAATGCTTGCTTAGTACCATTTGCCCTCCATTAGTAGTGTGAGGTACTGTTATGGTATTAGTACTATGAAGGTGAGGTATTGTCACAGCATTAGTACTGTGGAGCTTTACAAACACCCTTAAAATAATATATCATTTAGTTCTTGATTTTCTTGTTATTCATTTTGCATCTTCTTTCTGGGTTTTATAAAATAAAGTAAAAAAAAAAAAAAAAAAATTATTTTGAAAAATCAAATTAAAAAAAAAAAAAATTAATTTGGAAGTCTCAAAAATAGGTTTTCATTTTATTTTAAACAATTTATGACCAATTTGATTCCTCTTCAATTTTCTATTTTTTTTTTATTACATTCTCTAAGTGTTGAACAAGAAAGTTAGACAAGCTTTACAGTCATGTGCTTGTAATTCATACAAATATTATGAAAAAAACCAGAAACTCATTGACAAAGGGATTCCTGAGGCTTCTTAACTAATCATGAACATTTGACTTGACACACGTTAAATATTAAGAAAAAATATTTTGTGGTGGTGTTCCACAATATTAATGCAGGGTTAAAATTTTACTTTGTCGTTTAGGGCTGGATTCAGTCCTCCCCCAACCTGTTTCTTCTCCGTTGAGCATAAGGATATATATTTAGTTTTATGTATGTAAATTAATTTTTTTTAAAAGTTAACTTAGGAGGAAAAGTCTCAACTCCATTTACTTTTTAAAGTTAATCTTCCAAATTTGAACACAATTATAAAAAAAAAAAAAAAAAAATCATCTCACCATTCATTCTGAATGTTGAACATCATATCATCAATGGTGAGTTTGTCTGATACAAAATAGATGCCCCACAATCCCGTGTCGGTATAGCAAGTGTTGAAAGCTTGGAAGCTATGGCAGAGGTTACCCTTGGCAGAGTTACTGGCCAAACGTCCAGCAAGGTTTTCACCACCACCATGGGTACGGTCCCAAGTTCCAATGATTGTATTAGCCACCATCAAGGCAATGTTATCAGAATCAGCCCAACCACATCCTTCAACAGCCAAAGCCACATGGGCCAATGGCATATCATCATCTCTAACACGAATCTGAAAGTGAAAGAAAAAAAAGAAAATTATAAATTTAATGAAATACGGTTTGCTTAAGAGGATTACTAACTTTAATTGGTATGTTTGAGAGGAAAACACATTGTGTCTGCATTGTGTGTGTTTGTATGTAGGCACCTCGATTTATCATTGGAAAGAAAGAGAAAAGAAGAAAGAAAGAGAAAAGCATATCATGATGAAAAAAGAACCCAAACTTAATAAAAACAAAGTTTTATCATCAAAATGTTTGCTACTATTTTATTAAATTTTTTATTATTTTATTAAAATTTTTTTTATTAATTTTTTTTAATCCTAGCACATTGGAAATTTTAGTTAAATATCTTTTTTTTCTCTTTTTAAAAAAAATGTCAGTTTTCAATGTAATATTTAGAATCAGTGTTTTAGCCTTTTTTTTTTACCAGGGGGAAAACACATTGATTTGGAAATTCTTGCAAAAAATCGAATAATAAATGTATTTTAATAAAACTTTCAGAACTTATTCACAAATGAATGAAATTGTTTTTTGAAATTTTTATATATATATATATATATATATATATATATATATATATATATACACACACACACATTACTCCCCACTTAATTTCATGAAATTTTGAGAAATTAAATTTCGATCTCAAACGTGTTTTATTAGTTAAAAGCAGGAATCTTTGAGAATGTAAATCATAAAATTTTTTTCTGACTTGTTAAGTGATCTACCATTGACAAGCAATAGTGATAAGTGCATAATCACCACTACTGTTTGTTTTAAAAAAATCTATCTTATTTTAAACTTAATGTAAATAATATTTTTTTTAAGAATCAGATTAATTATACTTTAAATCAGCTAATATTCCTCAAACTTTCAGAAAAGCATATTTTATTTTTAGAAGATTTTTAAAACCAAAAATTAACTTTTGTTTACACATGTGTCAAAAATAGCAGATTTTCTGAAAACAACCAAAAAGTTGAGATTCCAATCAATATAATTTCTATATGAAATACACCAGAGTATTTTGCTTAGTGAAAATAAATTCTGCCAGAAATTGTTCAAAGTTAATTTTGAAAGTAATATGGACCAGGATTTCAACTGTCTTAAGTCATCATCAGGTTAGGTAGTGACAAATGGTGAGTTTTGTAGAACTAGTGAGTGTTGTGACATAGACAAAGAGTGTTGTGATGCATGTGTATGGTGTGTGTGTGTATATATATATATATATATATATATATATATATATATATATATTTGATGAAGGCTCTTAAATTATAATTGTTTTATTTATATATGTTTGTTTTTGTTGTATCAATATTGCTTCAAGGATCATGACAGAATTTCCACCTTATCTGAAAAGGATTTTTTGAAATTTGAAAAAGTCACTCAATAAAAATAAATTGACACAAAAAGTCTGTTGTCTTTAATAATATTTGCCTTGAAGAACGTGAGCTGCCTAAATACACAGAATCTATATAGAGGGTGCGATGAGTAAATTGTTGCCATCTTATATTTTCGATTTTACACATGCACGTTGTTTTTGATTGGGCACTGTCTGTAAAGAAAGAAAGAGTATCATGACGCAATTCACTCTGCCAGAAATTTAAAAACAGCATGCTGTATTGCTTGGCACTTGCACTGGAAGCTCCAATACAAACATTCCAGAGTGTTTGGTTGCCAATTTGAGGACAGTGCAGAATGAGTCTAATGGTGATCACAAAGGTATAGCAGCTCAATAAACTCACTGTAATCATTTCATTCTGATAAGAAAAATAATCCCAAATTTGTTGGTGAGGACATCAAACTCAACACTGAGGACTACATCATGCCTTGAGGAGGTAGTGCTGCCCTGGATCAAGAGGGTGGCTGCTGGAAAACCTTATGTCCAGTAACAGGACGCTGCACTATGCCACATATGCAGGAGAACCGAGTCATGGCGGCCAGACAATTTCTGTGACCACATCACCCCTTAAATCTGGCCAACTAATTCTCTAGACTGCATTCCCTTTGATTATTATATGTGGGGTGCAAGTAAGCAAGAGACCAACAAAACTCTTTTAAATACCAAAGATGAACAGCATTCACTAACTTAAACAAGAAGACCATCCAGAGAGTTGCAGAAGATTCCAAAGTCATCTGGTGCGTGTTTTCAAAACCAATCGCAATTGTATTGAATAAATTTACTCTTTAGTATTTCAAGATATTTTTGTGTAATTTTGGTAAATATATCTTAAAATGAGATGTCAGTGCTATTTTCATTATTGCATAATTTAGACAATTTATCCATTGCACCATATATATATATATATATATATATATATATATATATATATTTTCATTCCAGTGGATTTTGAAAGAAACTTTCTAGACTCAGCCAGCTTATTATTTTTGAAATTAAGCTGCCAAATGTAAATGTTCCATTGGGAAAATAAAGCAGCAATGTACAAGGGTGGGGCTGTACAGTAATGAAATTAGTTTCTTATTGAATTATTAGTCATTTTTATAAAGTAATATTCACCTCACTACCAGTAAATCTGCAGGGACTGGTCAAAGGAATTTCTCCCTCATAGCCAGCACTAATCCCACCAAAGTATTGTTGAGATAGTTTAACCAAGTTCTCATGATCAACTCCTGCAAAAACAAACAAATAAATAAATAGACAAGATAAAAATTATTACACATTGATACTGATCCAAATTTCTTTTTTTAGATCAGTGTTTTATAGAATTCACTGCCAAGAAACAAAGGAAAAAGGTCAGCAAGCAAAGAGCCTTTGTGAGGCAAAGAGTTGATTTGTTGGAAACCCAGAAACAGGTATAAAGAGAGAGAGAAAAGATAAGTTTTTTTTTTTGTTTTTTTAATGTTTTTTATTTTTTTAGATCAATTTCTTCATTATAATTGTTTGGGAAAAAAAAAAAAGAGACAAGAAAATGACAAAAGTGTTTCAAAAACAAATCTAGTAACAGTATCTCAAAAATTGAATTATAAATTAAGTTGTTAATAAAATAAAACTATTATACCAAAATGATTGAGACATTACTACAATAAACATCATCATAGAAATTAGGCCTCCTGGTTAAATTATAAATCATTAACGATATCCAAAAGGAATAAAGTTATATTTTTTCTTAGTCAGCTCTTAAAACTCTTCTGCTCTATGTGTGCATATATATATATATATATATATATATATATATATATATATATATATATATATAGCATATTTTCATTTAAGCATGTCTGATTAAAGAATTTAGACAGGTTTGTTTATTTTCAATATCTTTTCATAAACATGTATAAGTTTTGTTTACTGATTAAAGAGAACTAGGAAGGTACCATAATTGTATTTATTCATTTTTAGTTTTCCAAGTACTTTTGATATATTCAATATCATCTTCATATAGTTTTTTAGTTATATCTATGTTAAAACTAAAAAGCTTTTTTTAAAAACAAGCAAAAACCTCCTAATGTATTCAATTTTAACTAAGTTACTTACCTTACATTAAAATGTTTACAATATGGAAAAGGAAAATTAAAATTAAAAAAAAAAAAAAAAAAAATCACTGTGACTTTGTGCATGACTGGAACTGCTAACGGTTTAACAACAAAAACAAAAATCTACTTCAGACACACACAACTATTTGTTTTAGCCATCATATATTATATATATAGGGGGAGGGATGTATGACAAAGTCGAAAAAGTTTTTGTGTGACGTGTTTCACTCTTTATGACTTCATCAGCCAAAATTAGTTCTGTTGATGCAAGTACACATATACACAAAGGGAAATTTTAATTTAAAAATTTGGCAGGGGTTGGAGCTATAATCAAGCTGATTCAATTTTCCAAAACATGTTATGCTTAGAGATTGCCTTGATCACATGATCATCCACAGTAAATTTAGACCCTGGCTCTTAGAACATTTCCCCATGCTTTTAAGAACACTCCCCCCAACTCAAATTTTTAAGTTGCTCTGATGCACTAGAGAAATGCCCCCTCAAATTTTGACAGAAGAAATCAGAAAAAAAAAAAAAAAAAAGTTTTTTTTCTTGTACTTCATAGCCATCCATACTATCCCTAATTCATCAGGCCAGTAGATGAAAAAAAAATACTGTTTAATAAATAAACAGAGCATCTAGTCAAATATGGGTATCCACTAAAAATAAAGTTTAAGTAATAAAATCCATCAGATTAATAAATAAAAAATCCATTTCTTCTTTAATTATCCTATAAGCAACAAAATACAGTAAATAACCAAACTATCATCATAGATCAAGCAGACTTTAAGATCAATCAATGAGAAAGATATAAAAAACAAAAAACAAATCCATAATATTCAATGTTTAAACATAAGAAAAAGCTCAATGGCAGATGGAAGATTGTTTTGCCAATCCTCCAAGAAAGCCTGCTTTCCTTGAAAGTCAACATTTGAAAGCCTGGCATTTTATTTGGGTTGCAACACAAACTACTGGTACCAATGAGAAATGTACAACTATCTCAGTCAGAAGGCAAGCCAAGTGAAATAGTTGTGATCTTACCTCCTGCGGCAGCCAACACAATTCGTGGACCCTTGTAGTGTGTTGAAATATATTCTGTGAGGTCATTGCGGTTAATAGTTCTGCAAATAGGAGCATTATTACATAAATATATTTTCAGCAGAAATTTTTCTTTCAAGATCAATCATTGTCAAACATTATTCATTTTTTAATCTCATTTCATTTGAATTTCATTGTCAAGCATTATCAATTTTTGACTAGCATTTACTTTCATCTTCATTTTTTTATTTGATGAACCATGAATATTTTAATTTTAAATTCATATCAAATTATCAGAAGAGATCACGATCCAAACAACTTAAATTAAAGACAGCCAACATTGTATAACTAATAGAAGGGCTATTTTCATAAAATTAAGCATTGTCAGCCATTATTAATTTTTTTTTTTTTACTAGCAATTATTTTCATCTTTATTTTTTATTAGATGAAGAATTGTCACCAATTATTAATTTTTGACTAGTATTTACTTTCATCTTCATTTTTATTAGATGATGCATTGCCAACCATTATTTTTGTCTAGTATTTCCTTCTCCAATTTTAGTTGTTTTTTTTATCAACTTTACTTAGGCCATAATTTTAAATGAGTAGATGTCACAGGATTGGCTCTCAGTGCCATTCAAATTGACAATCCTTTTGCCTGAAAGAAATTTAGTGAATGTCCAGCTACTTTAATGGAATAAAGTGATGAGTCATAGCTCAGATTTGTTCATCTAGAAAGCTGTCAAGTTCTTGTACCTGTGTAGTTAAAACAGCAGGATAATTACCAGGTTTCTTTCCGGTAAAAGGAGTAAAATCTTATTGAGAGCTTACATTCTTATTTCAAATCCTCCCGTCTACTCATTGCTGGAGGTTGAGGGACAAGACAAAGTGGCTATAAAAAGCAACTAAAAACTAACATATAGCATACACTTACTTAATATTCTCAGTAGGTCCAAGGATGGTGCGCCCAAGAGGTGTACCTTGGTAAGCAGTGGCATGCAAGTGATCAAATACGACTTCTTGTAGATTCGTTTCCACTTCCTGAAATAAAACACACAAAAATATACACAAGGAAATGATGGCCATAAACTTATGGTTACAAAAAACATCCACATAACATATGAGCTTCAATATTCTTTTTTTATTATTTAAATATTATTATTACATGCTTTTCTATTCAAACCAACATACATATTTTATTTATACTTACAACATTCCAACTTTTTTTACTCTCCAGCCTTCTTCAGGTGTTTGCCATATTTGAGAAAATTTCTCAGAATTTTAAATACTTGAAGGATGCTTGGGGTTACAAAATAGCCTAAATTGAAAGGCATGCATTTATAATTCCTCATCTCAAAATTTCTGACATGAATTAAGACTATTTTTGCAAGGATAAAAGTGGTCTTATTGAACATTTTAAACAAATAAAACTTCTTTTACAACCATGCATCTGAATATAAGGCCAATCAATGTAGAGGATTACTTAGTGAAATTGTAAGGACAAAGGATGTAAGGCAGTATTATGATGATGAGTAGGATATCATTTGACCCCAAATTTTAGTTGACAGGAAAGCACCCTCTTGGGAGTTTGTTGCTCAAAGTAACAATTCTCATGTAGAAGCCGTTCAAGTAGAACTTGCTTGTTATCAAAGGAACACAAAGAGAATTGGAGGGGTGATAATTTGCCACCATTTTCCTTTTAGGACATAGGAGATCATGGCTCTCCACCTCCCTCTATCCCTTGCAAGCTCTCAACAAATTCCTTCCCTCTGCTACATCTGACACCCTTAGTTTCTTCCCTGTATTTCTCTGTATCCATTCCTCAAACACGCTCATTTACTCTTGTTCCTATCCTCTGTAACCCCATGCTTGCTTGGTGTGAATTGCTTAAGAAAAAAAGAAAAAAAAAAAAAAAAGAAAAGAAAAAAAAGAAAAGAAAAGAAAAAAAAAAAAAAAAAAAAAAAAGAAAAGAAAAAAAAAAAAAAAAAAAAAAAAAAAAGAAAAAAAAAAAAAGAAAAGAAAAAAAAAAAAAAAAGAAAAGAAAAAAAAAAAAAAAAAAAAAAAAAAAGAAAAAAAAGAAAGAAAAAAAAAAAAAGAAAAAAAAAAAAAAAAAAAAAAAAAAAAAAAAAAAAAAAAAAAAAAAAAAAAAAAAAAAAAAAAAAGAAAAGAAAAAAAAGAAAAAAAAAGAAAAGAAAAAAGAAAAAAAAAAAGAAAAGAAAAAAAGAAAAAAAAAAGAAAAGAAAAAAAAAGAAAAGAAAAAAAAAGAAAAGAAAAAAAAAAAAAAGAAAAAAAAAAAAGAAAAAAAAAAGAAAAGAAAAAAAAAAGAAAAAAAAAAGAAAAAAAGAAAAAAAAAAAAAAAAAAAAAAAAAAAAAAAAAAAAAAAAAAAAAAAGAAAAAAAAAAAAATAAAAAAAAAAAAAAAAAAAAAAAAAAAAAAAAAAAAAAAAAAAAAAAAAAAAAAAAAAAAAAAGAAAAAAAAAAAAAAAAAAAAAAAGGAAAAGAAAAAAAAAAGAAAAGAAAAAAAAGAAAAGAAAAAAAAGAAAAAAAAAAAAGAAAAAGAAAAGAAGAAAAGAAAAGAAAAGAAAAGAAGAAAAGAAAAGAAAAAAGAAAAAAAGTCTGTCTGTATAAACATATATAATGTTATGTTTGATCCAGTGTGCTTTACCACCCAGCCACAAAAAAATGTCAAAGCATAGTGCAGTAATAACATGTTGAAAAGAGTAGATGTTATGTTTTTCTTTTGCTTCCTTTTACTGTTTTATTTTCACCCAATACAAGGCCCAAGAGTCACTCTAGGTAGTGGATTACTGAGTGAAATTGTAAGGAAAAAGGATGTAAGACAGTATTATAAGGATGAGTAGGATAGATATCAGTTGACCCCAAATTGTAGTTGACAGGAAAGCATACACTTGGGAGTTTGTTCCAAAAAGTAACAATTCTCGGGAAGAAGCCATTCAAGTATAACTTGCTTGTTATCAAAGGAACATAAAGGGAATAGCACTACTTAAACTGAATATTAAAAAAAAAAAAAAAAATAAAATAGGGGAAAATTTTTTATAGATTAGCATTCATTAGACCGTCCTCAAACCACAAATGTTGATTTTTTTTTTTTTTTTTAAATCAATTTAAAAAATGAGTGTCATGTTCATAATATAAAGATCCCTGACTTCATAAAGAGATATCTGGACTTAGTTTTCATTTACAAATGTTAAGTTTGGAACTGTGCTTACATCATTGATAATTGTATACTATTACCAATTGGGAAAAGGGCACATCAGTAGTACAAAGTTATCAGCGACATAAGTATAATGCCAAAATTGTTTCAGGACAAAGTTGCTTTCTGAGACAATTCCGGGACAACAGTGAGTATTGTTAGTCTCGAGCCCCATGACTGGAGTAAGTAATCTTAAGTATTTTTTTAATTCTTATTTTCTGAAAATCCTCCCACAAGGTATTTTCATAACTAAAAGAGTTCAAAGCAGTCCTGATATAGACAGGATTTAAAAATACCTTTTAGAGTAGAGACTATTTGAAGATGGTGTTAGCAAGAGGAAGAACACATTACCTGCATTTCTCGGAGGATGACTCCACGTTCACGTTCAATTTCCTCTTCTCCAAGAGTACTGTTCTGGATGATGTCAGAAAGAATATCCAGGGCTGGAAAAGATGAAAACAAGACAACATCAATGACACTGGTCTTACAATGTTTATTCGTCATTACAAATTGACAGGTGCAAGACCTATATGTTCTATAATCTTTTTAATCAAACTGACATTTGTGAAAATTCAAATGAAAAATTTTGTCCATTGGAAAGCTTTCACTCCAACCAAGGTGATAAAAGCCACTAAGATACAAATTGTTACTGAATGTGAAAGAATCTGTGAAAAAAAGTATTAAGTAAAGAGAACAATAAAAGAACAGGAATTAAAAAGACAGATGATGATGATTGATATTGCATTTAAATTTTCAAAGATCAAAGTTAACTGGAAAGAAAAAAGCCGGAAGAGAGTTCCACGAGTGAGAAGTGCGAAAGAAGAAACTGTTAGTACAGAACTTATGGTTACATCAAACAATTTCAATGGTAAAATGACAAGACCAAGCAGCCAATCTACTACTGCATTTAAATTTGTAAAGCCAGTGTACAAAAGAGGAAAGTTCATCAGAACAATTACCACAAAGATATTTATAGAAAAGTTAGCAATATTCTAAGCATGGATAGATGGTAAACTTGTAAATAAAGATAGATTCAGGTGAGAAAAATTGTCTAGCATGACACAGACAACCAACTTTCCTAGCAATTGATTTGATATAATCTTTCCACTTCAAGTCAGCTGAAAATGTTAGACCAAGAAGGCGTAATGAGTCACTTTCCTGCATTAGCCATGCTGATGGAATGCAAAAAGAGTTCTCTCAGACAATAGAGAGCAGTTTTATTGTAGAGGTGTTAAAATTAACAACAGGAAGTAGACATTATTTTTTAAATCAGCTGCCAATTTGACTTTGTTGAACCAATCAGACTTACTATTAAGACAGGAGTAAATATATGTGATTGAGACGCTGATCAAGTTGTGAATATAGCTATAATTATCTTTGTGTGAAATGAGGAGCTGCCTGTAAGGATAGGCATAAAAATAAAAATAAAAATAAAAAATGCTATGTCACTTCAGATTCCTTTTCTTTATTATCTGCAAATTAATGCATAGCTGGGATATAGAAGAGGTGAATGGGTATTAGTGTGAAAAATTCATGCATAATAGGGCATAATAACAAATCTGTTTCAAGTCATTCACTGAATGAAGACAAATGATAGAAAACTAATTTTTTTTATTCTTATTTAATGGATAAACAATGAATAATATCAATACAATTTTTTTTTCCATTCTTTAAAAGAAGGGGGAGAAAAAGGACAAAAGAGAGGGGGAAAGAGAGAGGGGGGAAGAAAGGGGGACTAAGGGGGAAAGAGAGGGGAGGGGGGGGAAAGAGGGGGGAAAAGAGAGGATTAAGAAGGGGGAAAGAGAGGGGGAAGAAGAGGGGAAAGAATTCTGACTCAAGAGGGGGAAAGAAAGAGGGGAAAGAGAGGGGAAAGAAAGGAGAAACTGGGAAAAAGGGGAGGAAAAAAGAAAAAACAAGAAAGGAAAAGGGAAAAATTAAAATTAGTCAATCTGTACTATTGAACTTTCAAAAACCAGTGAAATAGAAAATAAAACACAAAGTATATACCCTGTGGCAAATCTTTGCTGAAACACTTGGCATAATACACAGTCTGTTCACGAGATGTGTAGGCATTTAGGTGGGATCCCATGTTCTCTACCTCCAGCTCCAGTTGGGTTTGGGACCTTTTCTTGGTGCCTTTAAAATCTTACTTGTGCTCAAGAATGATTTAGATTCCAGTTTGGTCAGTTCTCAAATCGACTGGAACTATAGCATCTATCCACAATCCGACCTTGATAAAAAAGAAAATAACACACATCAATACGAATTCTTTTAAGATAATCAACAAGTCTATTTTTAGTGAAACATTTGGCACCTTAAGAAAATCTAGTTTTATTAAGTTTAGCACAATTGTCAAATGGTGGAACATTTAAGAATGTTCTCTTATTCTAGAATAGAGTTTCAATTGAATATAACATTTTTTCTTAAATTAATTTGTTACATCAAATCAAGGATACATTTGTGATACTGGCATTTTAATGGTTTTATTGCTCTTAATTTTAGTAACATAAGAATACAAGGTTAAATTTTCCATACATAACACAATTGCTAATGTCAGCTAATCAAGAGTACTTGGTTTCAGGTCTTTCTTCAAATGCTTGATCTTCTTGCTTCTTATAGGTCAAGCATTTATACTTCTAATGGTCATATGGGGGGGGTATGTTGGTGTGATACTGGCTTTTAAAGCAAAGTGATTTTGTAATATTATGTTAGTAATGTATATTAAGAATTAAAAGATTAATTTTTTTTCATACTTCGTATCTTTATTTATACATCTGATAATTCTTTTGTACTCATAAGTTCAGCTGACTGCTACTCAAAAAAGATAAAGGTTTTAGAAGATTATGTCAAGAAGGTTTTACTTGAAATATCTTGATACACAAATCACCTTTTCCTTGAAAAGATCTGGTTATGTTTTTAGTATTATTTGTTCAGTGAAAAATAAAACAGAAACCTCACATCCTTTGAGGCCCAATTCTGCACTAGGTGGTTTTAAGGGAACCTTCTATTCAACTTAATAAAAGGAGTTCACTCAACAAAAAAGTCTTTTGATGTTCTTTGCTTTCTTTGATTAATGTTAAAAAAGAGAAAATTTTTAACATAGGAAGTCACACAAAAAGTGAGACTTTGATCCCAAAAAGTGAGACTTTGAAAGCCAATATTTACGGAGTGGGATTAAGAGTGTAGAATGCTAAAAGGGTTCAACTGAAAATCACAATCGAGGCTAAATAGCTTAAAATGTTTAACAGATAAAAGGTTTTGAAATCTCATTCCTATATAAAATCTGTAATATAGGCTGTGAAGGAAATAAAGAAAAATTTTTTTTTAAGGAAACAAAACTCACTGTGCATGTTGGAATGCCAGAATCTTCTGTGGCCACTTTCAGACCATTATTCAAAGTGGTCACCCGAGTTTCAGGTACATTCAATAGAGTTTGCTCATAAGTGGCTGCTTTGGCAGAATAGAAACGTTTACCAAAAGAAAGGGCAACCTGTAAGGAGAAAAAAAAAATGAAAATAAAAACTCAAGTCAAAGAATGATACTGCTGTTAAAGATACATGATAAGTTTTAATATATACAATAAATGCTCAAAAACATTATCAATGTCAGACAAAATATTAAAAAGTAATTTCAGATTTTAGACTTCTAAATGATTATTTTATAAATAAATTCCCTTTTCCTCTACAATGATAATGTTTGGTTAAATTTGTGTCTACACACTTGTAGAACTCAAACCTTAAGACTATTAAGGAAGATTCAATAAAAATAATTGCAAATACTATATATTTTAATGGACACCTTTATCTGAAGAGACGGCCTGTCTTATTTTAAATAGTAATTATTTTGTTCACCACACTGCAAAATATATTATATATATAGTAACAGATTGTTTCATCCGAAAAATTTATTTAACTACTTTCTGCAAAGTTTAAGAGTTTTTGTGGTAGATAATTTTTTATATATCAGAATATTGACTCAAAAAAAAAAAAAAAAAAAAAGAAATATGTTAGACTATATATCCAAACGCATATTTAAAAAATAATTTTAAAGTTTAAAATTTCAATGTAAACATTACTATAGTCTGATGAAATGCCAGAAAAATGCAAAAAAACAGGTTGATATTGTATTTTATTTCACATTAGATTCCATTGGACATTTTTTTTTTAAATTTTGAATAATTTAAGTAATTTTTTTTTTTTAATGATCTTTACTTCTTAATAAGGAAGTTATAAATAAAGGGAGGTAAGTTTTTGTATTGTTGATGTTATATAGAATCAGATTTAAAACACATATTAGTTAGTTTTATTATATATATATATATATATATATATATATATATATATATATATAACACACACACACACACACACATAGTAAGTCCATAATATAAGGAACGGAAACAACAAAAACATAAATATGTATATTACTTAAAAAGTAATGCATGATTAGGAAATGAAATTTTTTACTGAATAAAGATTAGGTGTAATGCATAAATATTATACAAAAGTTACAAAATTTATAAAAGTTTTTAGTTTTTTTTAAATAAAGATTAAATGGAACAAAGGAAAATAAGCTACTGGATAAAAAGTTAAGGAACATGATGTTAATAGTTTGCATAAACAAATTTACATTGTTAAAAAAACTCAATGGAGCTTTTCAACAATAAGTAAAAAAGTTCATTTATCATTAGGACTTTATTTTTTTTTAAGCAATATGGCAAATTCTACATGCAAAACGCTCTCTTTTTGAAAAAAAAACTCATTATTGCTAACTATCAAGAAAAAAAGTCAATTTCAGAAATTTCTGATATTGTTCATAGGTCTAAAAGTGTCGTTCATCGTGTAATTAGCAGGTATAAAACCAATAAAACGTTAGATGCAAAAACCAAAACTGGCCACCTCCAAAAACATCACAAAGAGAAGATCGAAGAATTGTTAGAATATCTACAAAAAAATGTTTTGAAACTGCTACATCAATTGCCCGTAAATTTAATGAAGAGACAGATAATAAGATCTCAAGGAAAACGGTTGCTAGAGGAAAAAAATGCAGGATTGCATGCCAGTATTCCAGCTTCAAAGCCTCTCATTTCAAAGCGAAACCAAAGGCAATGCCTGGAGTATGCGAGAGAACATGTTGTTGGATTGACGCACAATGGGATACAGTTCATTTCAGTGATGAGTCCAAGTTTACTATATTTGATTCTGAGGGCAAAACTTACGTTATTACATAGAACAGGTGAAAGACTGTCTTTTCAATGTGTCAAGAAACCGTTAAGTTTGGTGGCGGCAGTGTGATGGGTGGGGAATGATTTTTCATCTGCAGGAGTTGGTCCTATCATCCTGTGTACATGGCAATATCAATTTGAGATTTACAAAAGGCTTTTCAGTAGCATGTACCACCAAGATTACACCATAATCTTTATGAATCTATTATTTTCATGCAGGACAACGCACCTTGCCACAAGGCTCAGAAGATTATGGCTTTATTTGAAGAAAAAGGAATCGCCCTAATGAAGTGGCCAGCCCAGAGCCCCCGACCTGAATCCAATAGAAAATGTTTGGAAGATAATTGGAGAAAGGGCTCAGAAAAGAAACCCGAAAAACCAGGATCACCTATGGAGTTATTTGAAAGACGAATGGGAGGGAATTACTGCTGATTTTTTGCAAGAAATTAATTAGATCATTCAATGATGATGCAGAGAAGTCATTGAAAATAAGGGGATGTTTACCTGATTGTTTTTTTACTAAAAATATTTTTTGTCTATTGTTTTTGGGGTTAAAATAATTTTTAATCTTACTAATATAAAGACCCCTTCCTGACCACCCAGGAAAAAAGTTTATTCACCCTAAGGTATTCTATTGTTAATTATAAATTTGGATATGAAATTCAGAAAAAAACTCTGTACAAAAAAAGTGACTCAGATATTGCATTCTAATGATTAAACTGGTAAATTTAAAGAGCTTTTGACAAAATATTGAGAACTATTTTACAATACACTCAGAACAATATTCTAGAGAATGCAAGAACAGTTTAAATTAAATCTAGATTATTCCAGAATATTCCAGAAAGCCTCATACAGTATAAAAACATCTTGAAGTAGCCACTGAAGTCACTAACCAGATGAAAGGGTACCAACATGCATCAGAACTACTTAAGGCATCTATTATTGCCCTCTCAAAAGCAGGCAAGTCTACGAGAGAAATTACAGAAATTGCTATAACCTCACGATCGACTGTCTCTCGAGTGCTTAGGGTGCATAATGATGCCACTCCTGCTCCAAGGAAGGAAGGAAGGGGATGAAAGAAAAAGATTGATGATAGAACTGGCAGGGTAATCAAGAGAGAAATTGCGAAGAATTTGGGAATAATTGAAATTAATTATGAAATCCAGCAAAAGTCACCTATGAAATAAAAATAATTGTTTGTACGAAATTAAGGACCTACATATGTCAACTGGTCTTTAAATTAAGTGGTGGCAGAAGAATTATTGTTGAATATATATATATATATATATATAAAAACTGAAATTATTATATTAGAATTTATTTATATATATATATATATATATATATATATATATATATATATATGGTTTTATGGACACACTTACTTGAGCAAATTATGGAAAGAAAATTTAATTTCATGAAATTAAGTAAGTGGTGGGTAAAAAAAAAAATTTTAACAAGATTTTCTAAAAAAAAAAAAAAAAGGATTATTTCAAAAATAATTCCATTCATTTGCGAATAAGTTCTAAAAGTTTCACTAAAATCTGACATTTATTTGATTTTTTTTTTGTTTCAAATCAATGTGTTTTTCATTGGGAAAAAAGCACAAAAACACTAATCATAATTCTTATGTCAACCACTGATATTAAAAAAAAAAAAAAAAAAAAAAAGATTTTTAACCAAAATTTCTAACATGTTAGAAAGGATGAAAAAATTTAACAAAATAAAAAGATACTTTGGTTTTTTCCCTTAATAAACAAACATTTTACCAATAAAACTTTGTTTTTATTAAGTTTGGGACCTTTTTCATCAAAAAAGTGGAGGTACCTATTAGACTTAAAATTACATTTTTAATATCCTGAAAC